TGATCTGCAAAGTGACCAATCATGACACGATATTCAATTTGTGTGATCGACCAATCACGAGAAAGTTATCCTATATAATCTATTCCCTGTTACTACGTATGAGTGCAGATCAACTTCCTCATATAGACCCTATGTCAAAACTTTGAAGTCTAGAAAAAGAATTATTGTTGATCCAGAACTCACCTCATCAATGTTCCATTGATTCTATCTTTCATAAAGCTCTGGGTCTCTTTTTTCATTGGCCACAACTTATATTGAAAAATATTATCCATTTTGGATGACTTTCCTCATTCCCACCATAGCCCTACTCGTTTCGGTTATTAGTCTTTGTTTCTGGAAGAAATATGTATATCAAAATACAACCGAATAGTTCTGCATTGTTTGATTTATTTAATGTTTTTCGTTTGGCTTTAAACACGGTAGAAATTTTGACAATGCCAAACCGTCAAATTTTTCTCCGAATGATACAAAACATTACAAAATTAAATGGGATGACAAATTCGTGGATCAAATAAAGCATCTATTAAGGCTAACAAAGTTATTATGGTATATTCTATTTTTTGGGCTTTTCATATGCAAATTCATAATAATTTAATATCTCAAGCTGCTACGATGACGTACCAAATGATATGATTTGTAAGTATTTCTATTTTTAACTTGATATTGATGCATTGTTTTTTTTTTGTTTTTTATTGAAATATGTTAAAATAACTTAAAGCTATCCCGCCTTGAGACGCGTCGGTATCCTGTAACGCGTATTTCCATTGGTTTCATAGTAGTCGCTTCTGCAATGTTATATTCGGCAATTATCCAGTATATCATTTATAATACTGGCCCTTGTTTTGAGGAAACTCATTGTGCCATTGACAGTAAATCAGTTCCGGATGATATTAGTGTTGGTGGCAAGCTCCTTCTTATATTCTAGTCGCATTCTCAGAAAGTATGTTTGTTTTATATAGATATCTTTTTTATTCGAACATGTCTTTAATCGACGATCGTTTATTTTACCGTATCAGTTTTAGTATGTATTACCGGCCTTAATTACGTTTACAATAAGGTACGTACCTTTTTTATAATGATCCATTTTCCTGTTTATATTATGAATGATTAATAAACTTTTTCATATACGTATTTAGATATGCATATGAATGGACACATGCTAGGCACCATTAAGACTTAAGTCTACAATAACAGCTTTATACTTAATAACTTTAGCTGCTGGATCACTATTAGGATTGGTTTTTGTTCTGTTATCAAAGATCCTTATCTAGTCTTGCTATTTGGCATTTTAGCCATAATGGCATCTATTACTGGAATGTTTTTATTCATATTTTTCAGAGATTCCGATATTGAAGAGAAGTCATATAAGGAAGACATTATTTAATGAATATGTACCAATTATTCAAAAGAATGGATTATATACATATTTAGTACTGTATAAGCGCGAAATAACGCCCATATGCGCGTTAATTAATTGACCTGCGCTAGAGATGGGCAAAAATTTTATATATTCTTACATATGTTAACATATTCTTACAATTTATGGTAAAATCAATACACCAAGATAAAAAAAAAAACTTCAAGTTTAATATTTATTTTTTTTAAAAATAAATTTAAATTTTTATCAACAAATTTCAATTTATCGCATACAATTAATGATTAATTTAATGATTAAACATTATCGGTTTTTTCTTGAATGCTATGCGTAGCTTGAATAAAAGATTAAATTACGGCTTCATTATATATAATTTGATCATTAGTATTAAAATTATCAATGTTTTCAATTGTTTGCATTACATTTTCTTCAAATTTTTCTTCCAAATTATCATCATTGTTTTCCATATCATCAAATTCAATATTCGATGCGGTATTTTCAAGACTTGCTTCATTAGAATTAGTTGTATTAGTTTGAACGATTTGATTAAGCCTATTTTCTTTATTTTGAACAATATGATGTGAATTATTTGTTTCTTGTGCAATATGCCATCGAATGCTGTTATTTTTTGTTGCACGTTCATTTATAAATTTGTTACGCTGTGGTGAATGGATATTTGCAATAAATGACCAGAATCTTTCGCTTTCAGCAGAATTCAGCATAAGTAGGTGGTATCAACATAACTCGTTTAGCAAAAATAGCTAATTCCGGTACGATCGAACTTTTTATTTAACACATAAACAATTTTGCATACATGTAGTTTATAGTTTATTTGTAATCGATGACTCTTAAATTACTTAATAATATGTAATAATTTATAAAATATGTAAGGGTCAAATTTTAGGGGAATTTACAAATAAGGGCCCGGAAGTGAAATACGGGCCCAAATTAAAAATAATTACATATAAGGGCCTAATTTTTAAAAAAAATTACATATGAGGGCCCAAAATAACTGCGATGTTATTCAAGCTTGTGGCTTGATCGTTATTAGCATAAGAAATGTAAGCATCGATAAATGTAGTTATTAAGCGCATAAAAAATGTAATTATCGATTGTAAATTAGTAGGAAAAGAATTTTTTTAATAAATTTAACTTTCTTTGTATCAAATTACTTATTGTTATAACAAACCACCATGACGTCAAGTAAAGCACTGCGAATTGGCATGACATTTACTAATATGGAAGATGCTCGTTCAGCTCTAAAGAGCTACTCTGTTGAAATTTCTTCGCCTTATAAATAATTGTGCTAGTTTAACGCTATTCTTTATACAAGCGAAAATGATTATAACCAGCGCTTCATTTATCCTTAAATCTAATAATCGGTGTATAGATAACTCTAAATGCCTATAATAAAACAATCGATAATCTTATAATCGCGATTGTGCAATCGTTATAATTCAAATGGTCATAGTACTTTGTGGCGTAGTAATCCCGCAATCACATTTTTTCAGCCATCAATAGATTTGGGCCCTTATATGTAATATTTTTTAAAAATTAGACGCTTATATGTAATTATTTTCAATTTGGACCCTTATTTTCACTTTCCGGGCCTTTATATGTAAATTCCCCTAAATTTTGCTATCGTTTACATAATTATTACATTGCTCATCCCTAACCTGCGCGTTATTTCGAGTACGTACGCGCATGTGCGTTATTTTGAAATATAGGTTAAATAATCACCCTTAATAGTAATAAGTATAGTAAGAAATAAAAGTGCACCGTTACTGGATTTGGTACTAAGTAAACTTTCCTTTATACTTTAACAAAAGTTGTTCTCCAGATTGAGACTATTCTAATAGTGGTAAAATCTTCAAGAACTGCTCAGCAGATCGTCCGCAATGGCTCTTCGAAATTTTAAAATCTTTAGTTTACATTTGTTTACATGATTTGTAAACAAATGTTTTAAAATTTCGAAGAGCCATTGCGGACGTTCTGTTGAACCGTTCTTGAAGATTTACCACCATTAGAATCGTCTCAATATGGAGAACAACTTGTTTGAGTACAAAGAAAGGTTTACTTAGTACCAAATCCAGTAACGGTGCACCTTGTACTTTTTTATTTTTTATAAGGGGATGCACGTTAATTCGGACGCACATGGGCGTTAATTCGAAGCTGCATATGCTATTTTTGAGGGTCCCGATTTTATACGGTATAGAAGTTTAATATTAATCTATACACAATAAGGCCTCTCTAAGTGCACGTACTATGTAAATTCTCTCTAAATGCATGGCATAACTTGGCCCCAATTTATAAGAGCATTATATTTTGCTCTCTATAAATGCACTCTCTCTTTAAGTACACGTTTTGCTTTTTTTTTGACTATGGTCCCGAGGGGGGTGCACTTAGGGATGTCTTACTGTAGTTGGGTTTTTCTTTAAAACCTAAATTCTAAATTTCAATATTCACTTTACTGTTTTCAATGAAATTTTTTTTTTTAATTTAATAAATCTTTTTTTTTAAATACGTTATCGGTTTCGACTTTTTTTTTTTTTTTTACCCGAGGATTGACCGAACAATCTTAGCGTTTCCTGCAAGAAATGAGGTCGGATAATTTTCTGGAACGGGTAGTATTTTTGGTAACAATATGTTCGAATTGTATATAGGCCGTTTTTAGTTGATTTTTAGGTTAACGTCATCCCCCCCTCGCTTAAGTGCCTCCCCCGAAAATTAAACAAGTCAATCACAACGCAACATAAACTTCATTAATCATGTGATTAATGCTGACCAATGAGATTTGATCAAAAATTCTTGGGACTATATGTGTTTGTTTAAACCCCAAAAAATCAACTAAAAATGGCCATGTGATTATTATTGGGGAATCAGTTTTTATGCCCCTACATTTAATATTCATGTTCTACTGTAACAACAACAAGAAAAAATTCCTGCAAAAATTTTGATATATATCATGCCTTACTCTCACTTCAACACTAACCCTAATGTTAAGGTTATTACTTCAAATCTTTCGTTTATTCGATTGTTTTGCTTTCACGCTACACCTGATCCCGAAATCTGATTGATTGATGCACAGAAGTTTTGGAGGTGTTCTTGAGATAGTTGTGTCGTGAATCTTGCTTTATCTTTTTTTTTTCTTTTAAAAACCAATATGAATTCACGTTTATTTTATATCTTTAGAAGAAATTTTATTCCTACCTTTATGTTTTATAAAACAAAATCCGGCCGAAAATCTAGGTAGGATAAATTGAAAGTTCTCAAGCAATTACCAAATAAATTAAAAGATGACATGAATGTAGTTTCAACAGATGAAATACTCGACTCTCTTCCGGAAAGTATCAAGATCAATGATACCTTACTGTAATCTTACGAAAGATCTGTCGATGGCAAAACATAGTTCTATTTTGAGAAATTAAATAAAGAACACTTGTACTGTGTCTTAATAAAGTTATTGTAAATGATAATTTAATTACGTGAGTTCGGGAGACATTAACAGATACATTCGTTCGATTTTCTTAAAGAATTGAAATTAACAGATATTCACTTTCAATGATGTTGTGAACAGACTTTAGGTTTAGTGTATTCCAAAAAAGGTGTCTGCAAAAGTTAAATTCAGTATAAAGAACAATTCTATTCTTTGTATAGATGAGGATAGGCACATGAATTCGGTAGATGGTGCATCAGAATATGGAGTATCACAGACATCTGCCTAATTTTTGCATGTGCCTTTGTTGTAGGTGGAAATGGAATTTAAGTGAATTTGGAATTTCTTATAATTTATTTTATATAAACCTACACCCGTTCCCACTTACAACGAATATTAATTAATTAATGATTTGTATATTAGTGTAATATGTACGTATATACAATTTTTATTAACAAAGTTTAACCCTGTTTAATATTAGGGTAATGCTAGTTTTAAAGCTTAGAGAAAAGCATAGTTTACACTAAAATTTTGCACGAAGTCTTTTTTGTTAGAACCCCAAAGCAGCTTTATTAATAATCCATGTTATACACATAGTTTCACCGACACCCATTTGGGTGAGTACACAACAAAACCATGCTTAGAGTATATAGATTATATCTACACTAAGCATGGTTTTGCTGTGTACTCACCCAATTAGTCTATTTAATCGACATCGCACGGGTGACGATTTACTATTAATCTATATCAGCAACTAATAAAATGCTAATCCTAACACTATGTGATGTCGGTTAAACGGATCCACCTATACACAGTGTACAAAAGAAATTCTCTAAAGAGTTACACTGCAAAATTCTATTACGATAACAGTACTCGTTCCTTAAGTAAAAAATGTTTTTTGGCTAATTTTAAATTAATTAAAGTCAATTTGGTTCCTTTTTTTTTAGCACCTAGCCAAATGTTAAAAATTTAGTTCTGCAGAAATTAATTATATAATTTTATGCCTTTATTATATATTATAACTGTTTATTATTTGCTACAGTCTCCTCCCATTATAGTCACGTAAATTTTCTACTACGTCAGTCACAATTCATGTTAAATTCCGCAATAATAATGATAAGTCTGACTGGACAATGTGACTATTACAGGAGGCAGACCATTTCCCGGTAATCATTTCACCAACAATATTTACCATTTATATATAGCATTAGGGTATCTAAACATTTGTCGGTGAAATGATTGTCAGTGAGATGGTCTTCAAAAAAAAAACAAAATTGAAACAATTGCTTTTACTAGATGCTATTTAAAATTCCGAGAATTTTACGATATTCATCATACTGATTGTCGTGAACTTTGATCAATAAGGCGTGTAAAACACATGAACTTTCATCAGAGCAAATATATTGCATTTCATCTGATGAAATCTTTCCCTTGTATAACTTATGAATTTCGGCGTTTCCAAGCAAGCTTGTCGTATACGTGCCTTCTCCCTCCTGAGTATCAATCGAATTTGGCTTTTGTCGCACCATTAAAATTGTTTGAAAGTATTTGCCTTCCCAACTGGTCATTGGCGCATACAGCTGTGAGTACAACGGAATTTTTGATGTGTAAATTCCAGTACCATACATTTGGCCGTTCACTAATTTGACTACCTTATCTCCAGCGAGGGATCCGGGCTTTTTTAGACCATATTGAAGAATACTTTTAATGTTCTTCGGATCAGTTCCATGATAACTGTATGTCCAGTTATAATTATAAAATAAGTGAGACCCTTGCTTTAATACGAATTTCGAACATTCGGACGGTCTCAAGTATCTATGCCCACCGCGATTTTCGAGATGACAATAATTAGTGAGATAATAACAATTGTCTTGATGATTAAACAATGAATCATCAAGCTGCAAATATTCTTTAATAAATTTATATGACACCGTATAATCAGATTTTCGTTCGAGTGACCTTGATCCGTATAAGTATCCTTCACTATATGCCATTTTTATGTTAGGTTTTTGGTGTTTTTAATAGCAAAGGTCAATGAGAAAATCGCGGCATTTTAGAGGATTTTTCATATTAAATAACTTTTGGAAATATTATTCTTTGAATTAGCCTATCATTTGTTTTTTGCATCAATATTTTGATAAATTAAAATATTACGCGCTTAGTTTAAAGGCACAAATGAGTGATGCCTAATAAAGACATGTGACAATCAAATGATCCGGTACGTGAACTCGTCAAAGTGTTAGCGGAAGGCTCTATGCTATGAAGAAACATAATTTAGAAGTTTTTGTCCACACACGGTTATAAGTTCTGGATACTATACTTGCATCAAATGATGCTTCATGTGATTACATTTACCAGAATAGTCAAAACTATATCAATATCGATATAGCTTAATCTTACCATGGATTTAAGACCTGAGCATATCATCTAGCTAAAAAAAAAAAAAAAAAAAAAAATTCTATTAGGCCATGCAAAGTTGATTTTTCGTTTTGCATTACCCGCCGACCCAAATTTTTCAAAATCCCTATTTTTTTTTTT